TGGCACAGGAGAGCTTCACCCCTCTGTGGGGCAGCTGGTGGGGCTTGTTTGGGTTAGGGTGGTTCTCCCCAGCCCAGCTGCCCAGCATCACACCCAGGCTCTCCCCACTCTCCAGCCGCTGTCCCCCAGCCCCAGCCCAGCTGCCCAGGGACCACCTTTTCCCAGGGAGTCCCAGCCCAGGGGGCCAACACCACCCTGTCCATGCTGCTAGCACCCCGAGCCTTTCAGCCTGCTGTAGTTAATGATGATTCTTATATTTTTTGTTCTTAATCACATTCCCTCTGGCAGTGAAATAAATCTCAGAATTCTTTGGGGCAAGAACGAGTTAATCCTCTCCTTGCCTCCCTTGCATCTGTGCTCCTGCAGCCCAGCAGTGTGGGTTTGGCTGCATGTGGGGGTACAGTGGGGTGAATGTGCCTGTTGCCGTCATGCGAGCAGCACCTGGCTCATGGCTGCCTGCAACTTGGCCCTGTTTATGGGAAGTGTGGAAGCAGCAGGTTGCCCCAGCAGCTGTCCTGTACAGAGGACCAAGGGGGATGTAGTGGGGTGGGCAGGAATAAGGTCTGGAAAGCTGGAACTGTCTTCACCTGCAGGGCTGCTGGTGTGACACTCAATGGGTGAGGGATGGATGTGTGCATGATCCAGCTGAGTGTGCTGGTTTGAAAGCAAACCGGTGAGAGACTCCAAGTCAGAAATACAATTTAATAGGAAAAACAAAACAATGCAACAGTACAAAAAGAAACCACTGACAGAGTCAGAAAGCAACCTGACATCCTGTCAGTCAGGGTGTTAGTAGTAGTCCGAATGGTGGCTGCAGTCCTCCTGGAGTGATGGTTCTGTTGGAGCAGTGATCCTGTAGATCTGGTCTTCACCTGAAGGTTCAGTGGTAGCTCCTGTCCTCTGCGAATCCAGTAGGTTAGGCCTCTGTGCTGGTCCAAACCCAAGCTTATATTCATGTGGGAATGCTTGACTCCCCCTCTTGGGGTGAAGCATCTCACAATGGGACATGCCTGGGTCCTGACAGCCCATTAAACAGAGACAGCCTCCTGAGGGAGCCATCAGGGATGAGTAGGAGATAAGGAGCACTGCCCCCATTGCTTTCACAGCTTGTGAAGATAATAGAATACGTACTATTGGTTACACCCTACATTATAACCCAGGACACTGAGGCAGCCTCATGGTGGGGTGATGCCAACCCAGCCAGGCAGGTCCAGTGGGCATCAAGGAGCTGAGCTGGTGAGTGTCTGGGGGGTGACCCCTTGCTTTTGCCCACCACTTGGCAGCTGGTTTGTTCCCAGCCCATGCCCCTGAGGGACCTTCCCC